CCAGGAGACATGTTATGAAAATGTTCTGACAGTTTGAGGTTATTGATTCTCAGCTATGGTTTTCTGCTCAATGCTACTAATGACCCTCCAAAAAGATCACCTTCTTTTGAGTGCAGAGAGGTGGTTTTGGTCATTATTGTGGAGGAGCTCTTGGAACTCTCTCACTGCAGGCTTAGCCAGCTGGGCCTACTGCCCACTGCTCCAGGTGTCCCAGGTCTTCCATGGCACAGCTCAGGATCACACTACCTCATGCCTCACACCACCGGCCTCCTCCCTCCTACCGTGGGCCCTCCTTGTCACCAGGTGCAAGACACAACAGGACCACTGGGGACGCACTGGCTTGATAGGGCCTGGAGACCCCAGGCTGCAGGCAGAAAGGAAGTGTCCCTGGCTTGTGCCTGCTCGCTGACTTGTGTTCTGAGACTCATATAAGGGGCCAGGTAACAATGCTGGAAGCTGATGCCCAGTGAAACAAAACAATTTTTTTTTTTTTTGCTTTTTTTTTTTTTTTTTCTTTGCGACAGAATCTCACTCTGTCACCCAGTCTGGAGTATGGAGGCAGGATTTCGGCTCACTGCAACCTCTGTCTCCCAGGTTCAGATTCTTGTGCCTCGGCATCCCAAGCAGCTGGGATTACAGGCGCCACCATCACGCCCAGTTAATTTTTGTGTTTTTAGTAGAGATGGGGTTTCGCCATGTTGGCCAGCCTGGTCTCGAACTCCTGGCCTCAAGTGATCCGCCCACCTTGGCCTCCCAAAGTGCTGGGATTACAGGCGTCAGCCACCGTGCTGAGCCCCAGTGAAGCAAATTTGAAGTACTAAGAGGCAGATGATAGGCAATAACCCATAGACAAATTCTTCCTCTTCTTCTCTTCCAAAGGATTCTTCTGAGAAATGTTTCCATGTGGGCCTCTCTGGAAACTTCCAGGTGACAGAGCAACCAATAGTGCTTTCTAGTGAAGCAAGGCCAGCCCAATAATCTTCTCTTTGCTTTCCTGCCTTCCTGTATTATTGGCCTGCCCCCGTTCACTCCTGCTCCCTTGGGTTTGCACCCCTCTAGTGAAGCTTTAGAATGTAAATTTTGCCTCAGCCTATAATTTCTAGGAAACCTAGACTCAGACAAAGAATGTTTACTGCAGTAAAATTGTCACAATGCTCATTGTTTTATGATCACAAAATAAGTAATTAAACTATCAGTACAAAGAAAAAGAAGAAAAAATAGACAAAAAAGTATTTTCAAAACCAGAAACTAGAATTAAAGCAAACACAGGCTCAGTGCAAAGAATAGATTTCACTTCTATTCTTTCTCTGCTGCTTATTTTCAAGCTGTCTTGTACACATTATATTTTAAATGTACAATATTATGAAAAAATTGAGCTCCTTAAGAAATGCTTAAATATATGGATGCCAATGATTAGTCTACAAAAGAAAAAGTAATATTCAGAAGAGTAGTAGTTGCTTCAGATGTAACTTTAATATATTTCATTATATAAAATTGGCTTGAGTTTCAGAAGATCGGCTAAGAGTTCTGGAGTCAGGTTGACCTGGGATGAAAAGCCCAGCTGTAGCCATCACGTAGAAGTTACCAAGTCTCTTTAAGCTTCAGTTTTTCTCCTCTTTTAGATAAAGATGGGATAGTACATAAGTCATAGGGTTATTATAGGTTTTAAGTGAGATAATTTAGTATGTGGCCCACAGTGCTCAATAAACATTATTATTGTGACCCATAATAGTTCCAGTGAGGAAAACTAATTCTTTGTGAGCAATAATTGGTGTTGAGCAAAGCTATATTAATGCTAGTTATCTTGGGAAAGATGAATTCTAGTTGGAACTTTTGCAATAGAAAGCAGGATGTGATTTTTTCACCATTTTAAGAATGTGGGGTGTGTGTGTGTGTGTGTGTGTGTGTGTGTGTGTGTGAACTCATTCAATCCATTTTATGGAGCACCAACCTTGGGCCCAACAATTTTTCTAGGCACAAGGTTAGACGGAAGTCAAGGTAGAGTAGGTCCCTGTCCTCAAGGATTTTCTGTTCATGAAAAACAGCTTATTATTGTTCTTTGTTTGTTTTCTTTTGCAAAAGGAGCAGTTCAGCACTTGACAGGAGACAAGAGGTCGACACCCCAGGACAGAGTGAAAACCTAAGGTTTGTATTTTTGATACACAAAGTGCTCTTTTGAAGGAAACCAAAAAATGTCAAGTTTCTGGCAAGATATGGAAAGAGGACAGAAGGAGACCAGAGTCCAAGCACCAGAGGGCAAAGATGTGGAAAGCGGTCCTAGTTAGGAGCTGTTGCCCCAGAAATGTTGAGTGCACAAGCTGTAAGCAGGATCGCAGTGGAGACAGCTAGTGTCTAAAGCCCTGCTGAGTCAGTCCTTTACACGGGCTGTCCAGCCTTCAGCATGGGGGTCTCAGCATGGCAGGCCTACACCTGCTAAAATTTCTGTCTTCGCAGTGGTGAGAATCGGCTCCTTCCGCACTTGTAAGAGCAAATTTGGTTCTGCCACTGTCTGATTGCCTGGTGCTCATGCCTCACTTTCCTGTCAAGCCAGGTCGTCATAAAACCAAAGAGGACTTCACTTCTCCCTAGCAATTACCAATTCTGTGAAACTGATTACTCCAAACTGTATGTATAGACTTATAAACGAAGAAAGACTTTGCCAGATCATCTTTTAAAATTAAACCTCAACTTTGATGTACTCGCTGTGCTCCAACCACACCTGTCTTTTTCCTTGTTCCTCAACGATGTCATGTTTCTGTTACAGGGTCTTAGCATATGCTATTCCTTCTGCCTGGAGTGCGCAGCCCCAGACCATCACATAACTGGCCACATTGCTCAGACTTTAGCCTAGATGTCATCTCTTTATAGAAGCCTTCTCTGACCACCCTATTTAATGTTGATCACTCCACCTGCAGCTGAGATGCCAGCTAATAAATTCCCTCCTACTCCTCCATTCTTTCTTTAATTTTTATGCCTCATGTGAAAAGTATCAAGTCAATCACATACTTCAGTTCATGGTATACTATTATTACATTTCTTTCATGGATATTTTCCCCATTAATCCCTGGTTTCCATTTCCATTACCTTTTCTTTCATATATTCATTCACCATAAGGCATTACATGTATATCCTTGTCTAAAAATGTAATATTGTCAAATGTAAGTTATTATTTGGCATATTATATGTTTCACAAATAGTATTGTGCAATAGACCTTGTTGTAGGTATTATGTTTTGTATTCACCAGTGTGTTCTAAAGACCCATCTGTATCTGTTATATATGTATGCACACTTGGTTCATTGCTTCTAACTGATCCTTGGTATCCTGCAGTGTGCATTCATCCCTGCTCTCGATACAGTCAGCTCCCAAATTCCGTAAACAACTCCTCTGTAAGTAACCTCCTTCTGACAGGGGGTAGAATTGCTCAGAGGCGAGATGCTGCCATTGTTATCTGTTCCTCACCCTGGCCAGGCTGTGGCACTGCCCTGATATTATCCTATCACCTCTGCGTAGCAGATATTTTGTCTCAAGGTGGTGCCAGGCCAGGCGATTATCTGCCAAGAACAGCAGTTGGAGAGAGGAAACAGCCTGCAACTCTGCCTGCACCATGTCCTAACAGTGACTTTCTCTGCTCAGCCTATGGGTTACCCACAGCAGGTCACAGCCACCCTTTCTCTCTGCCCAGGGGTTTCTTATGGTTTTTACCTAGATTTACATCGACTTGCAGATCGGTACACCCCTCTCTTGCTTCTGGGGCAACATCAGGGTTGGAATGTGTGGAGGTCCTTATAGTCTTCATAATGCTAATCACTACCTGGAATTATCATCTTTTTTTATTGGTTTACTTGCTTATTTTCTGTCTCCCTCACTGTAAGACTGTAAATGCCACATGAGCAAGGACCTTATCTGAACACCTTCCTAGGTTTGGGGATATCCCACCACATGCATACCACTGAGGGGCAGAGATGCCTTCCAGTGTAGAAACAGCCAGGACCATATAGTCACAGCCCCAGGCAGCTTCACAGCTAAAGCGCAGGCATTTCTTCTCTATGTGACCATCAGACCAACCTGTGAATCCCAAGCTGGAGAAATGAAGTCACCAAGACAGTGGAGAATTCACTGGTGGGCGCAGCTGTAGTGGCAGCAGTAGCGCTTATGGCAACAGTTTCAGGAGTAGCAGTTGGTATCCTGCCTCCAAAGACAGAATGTAAGACCACCAGCAGCACTGCCTTTACCAGACTGGTACTAGGACCTAATTTTGGAAGTGGTTCTTCCTATCTAGCCTTTGGGCTACCTAATAGCCTTTCAACAAATTTGTCATTTCCTAAATCAGTCAGAATCAACTTTTAGTGTGTAAACTGAGAACCCCCAGTAGAACTACTAGCCACAACGTCCCTTTTTATTGTCTAAGTCCATTTGAGCTGAACTTTCTGTCACTTGAAGACAGAAGCTCCCTAACTCAGGGTCGTCAACTCCCAGGCCACACAGCGGGGGTGAACAGTGGGCTGGCAAGCAGGGGGGCTTCATCTGTATTTATAGTCACTTCCCATCACTTGCATCACCGCCTGAGCTCTGCTTCCTTCAGATCAGCAGTGGCATTACATTCTCATAGGAGTGGGAAACCTATTGTGAACTGTGCATGTGAAGGATCTAGGTTGTGTGCTCCTCATGAGAATCAATGCCTGATGATCTGTCACTGTCTCCCATCACCCACAGATGGGACCGTCTCGTTGCAGGAAAACAAGCTCAGGGCTCCCACTGATTCTACATTATGGTGAGTTGTATAATTATTTCATTGTATATTACAATGTAATAATAATAGGAATAAAGTGCACAATAAATATGATGTGCTTGAATCATCCCCAAACCATCCCCCACCCTTATCCTGTCCATGGAAAAATTGTCTTCCATGAAACCAGTCCCTGGTGCCAAAAAGGTTGGGACAACTGCCCTAACTGATGTAAGAGTATGGGCAGTAAGTGTTTTCAGTGCACTGAGTGATTAAAGGTTGTTGGGGCGGGGTGGGTGCACAGTTGAACTGAGCTCAGTGCATCCACTGGCAAGGAGGTGGTAGCAGGAAATAGGCACGTGGTGGCTTCAGTAACAGAGAGGACTGCAGGGCAGACCTGAGCTTAGTAGCCTGGCTTCTCCAGGAGCTGAGGGTGAGCATCATGCCGGCTCCATCTCCCTCTTTGTTGTGGAAAAGGCAGGTAGGAAGAATGACAGATTGCCTTACCCTTTCTAACTGTTGTGTGCTCTCCATACCCCACCCAATCCTACTTCAATATTGTCACCTAAGGCTTCACAAACCTACACTTGTGCGAGTCCAGCTGTCTGTGGTCTAGACTGTCAAGGAACGTATCTGATTCTGAGATGCTCAGGAAAGTGTGCTCCCAATTGGTCCTTATCCAGACTAGTTTACTTGCTGAGTATCCCCAGGGCACAGGGACAATCATTTGGGGTTGCGGCTTTGTTCATAAGGTCATCAAGACAGGAGGATATGAGGCAGAATCACCACACAAGGTAAGAGTACATTTAGAAATTCTCTTGAATAAATAATACTGGCTTTATCACTATGCTTATTTCTGTGTTTCTACTTGCTCTCATATTTTGGCTTGGTTATTTGTTACTATCTTGTTAGCTTTTTGATGCCTCTAGTTTTGTTTTTATTTTTGATATTGTTGTTTTCTTTTCTTGTTTTCTTTTTTTTTTGAGATGGAGTCTCGCTCTGTCACCCAGGCTGGAGTGCAGTGTCACAATCTCAGCTCACTGCAGCCTCCGCCTCCAGGGTTCAAGTGATTCTCCTGCCTCAGCCTCCCGAGTAGCTGGGATTACAGGTGCCCACAACCATGCCAGACTAATTTTTGTATATTTAGTAGAGACAGGGTTTCATCATGTTGGCCAGGCTGGTCTCGAACTCCTGACCTCAGGTGATCTGCCTGCTTCGGCCTCCCAAAGTGTTGGGATTACAGGCATGAGCCACTGCGCCCAGCCGTTGTTGTTTTTTTTTCTGATTTAGCCACATCTTTTGTTATTTTCAGTGGGAGAATGGTCCAAAATATCTTGGTTGCCATATTGTCAGAAATCAGAAATGGCAATCTTCTATTGTTTTTTAAATTTCATCATTCTTATTTTTCATTCTTATTTAATTCTTCATTTAATTGGTTCTTTAAATCTCTTTGACATTTTAAGATAATTTCTCATTTCCTGCCTATATTTTCAAGGTTGTTCGATATTTCTCTAAAATTGTTAAACATAGTATTTTGCATTTTGTATATGATATGTCCAATATCGAAAACACCCATCCTGCCACTACAAGAAAAGTTTTGCCCAAGAATGAACCAACATAGAGAAAAACAGAGCTAAGACAAATCAAGGCTAACTGCTGATTTAATTTCCTAGATCCAGCTATTCTTGAAGCCTTCTCAGTTACACAAACCAATAACACTTAAATACTTTTTTTACTTAAACTATTTTCTGTTTCCATTACTTACAACCAAAATAGTTCTGATTAATACATAGAATAATGTGAATTTATATTTTTATTCTGATTTTTATTCTGACTTTATAAAAAAGAACTTTTACAATTATACATTATGCTTGGATAAATACATGTATAAATATTTGTTTGGGATGGAGGATGTACACTGAAATGTTAACATCAGGTTTCTGCGGAGGATGAGTTGGAAGGGATGAAGGAGACATTAATCTCTTTTTCTGGCAGGGTGCAGTGGCTCACACCTTAATACCAGCATTTTGAAGGTGGAGGCGGGTGGATCACCTGAGGTCGGGAGTTCAAGACCAGCCTGACCAGCATGGAGAAACCCCGTCTCTACTAAAACATACAAAAATTAGCTGGATGCTGTGGCAGGCGCCCATAATCCCAGCTACTCGGGAGGCTGAGACAGGAGAATCACTTGAACCTGGGAGGCAGAGGTCGCAGTGAGCTGAGATCGCACCATTGTACTCCAGCCTGGGCAACAAGAGCAAAACTCCATCTCAAAAAAAATATATATATATCTTTGTCATCTATGCAGTGTTTGACCTGCAAGTGCTTGTATCTTTTGTAATTGTTTAAATCCTAAAAAATTTTAAATGACTATTGCATATACTTTGTGTTTTTCCAAATATAAGATTTTATAAAGAAGAGAATGGTGTAAGTGACCCGGGGACAGTGGGGGGAGCTTAAATTTGAAACTAGAAAAAATTTTGGACAAAGTAGTCATAATTGTTAGCTCATGAAAAACTAGAAAAGATTTTCTGAGTAAATTCTTGATTTCAGAAATTAGTTATAATTTATATTGCTCTTAATATCTTACCTTTGAACATAAATGATTAATGCCCTTTAAAATGTCCTTTTTTCTAGCTAACCTGATGTACATATGACATTAATCCAATAGACTTAGGAATAAGATACAGGGGGCTTTCCTGAATGATTCAAGTATATCCCTATTCATATTAAGAAAACAAAGTATTGGCCGGGCGCGGTGGCTCACGCCTGTAATCCCAGCACTTTGGTAGGCCGAGGCCAGCGGATCACCTGAGGTCAGGATCACCAAGACCAGCCTGTCCAATATGGTGAAACCCCATCTCTACTAAAAATACAAAACTAGCCCAGCATGGTGCTGGGTGCCTGTAATTCCAGCTACTTGAGAGGCCTAGGCAGGAGAATCGCTGGAACCCCGGAGGCAGAGGTTGCAGTGAGCCGAGACTGTGCCGTTGCACTCCAGCCTGGCCAAAGAGAGCAAAACTCCATCTCCCCAAAAAAAAGAAAGAAAGCAAGAAAGCAAAGTATTAAGTTATTTCATGGACCTGGAAATTTGTCTTTATCAAATTCTAATTCTGAGTTAAAAAACAGATTATAAATTCTTATCACAATCTGTTTTGCAATATGTTTTAAATGATTACTTATTACAACGTTGGACACTGTTTTCCTGGAGACATCTTTCGTTTCTTGATTATGAATGTAACCAAGTGTCTGAACTGCTTAAATGATCAAAAATCTTTATCTCATAATTTTATGAAAACATAATTTAGATACATAGGTGTACAATATTTACATTTGCATTATTTAGTAAGATGGGCTTTTTCCCTGCTGGAGGCTGGGGAATGAGATTAATGGGAACACTGGTGACGAGTGCAGGGGAAAACACAAACTGCCAACTCTTGCCTTGGAGTGGCATTCGCAGTCTTAACCTCACAGTATACTCCAAACCCATAAAAGGTCATTTGCCTTCTCTCACAAGCCCTTAATTCACTTGAGAGATGGCCTTAGACAAAGATAAAGCCCCTGTGAATTGGTAGCCTGGCTTTGGGGAAAGACTTACACAGTAACTAAGGTGTTGGATAAACAGATGCTAACCATTTACTTACAGATCTCATAACTATGATTATTGTATGATCATTTATTCATAGCACATAATAGCTGCCTTGAAGTTCCTTTTAACAGAAAAAGGATCAGTTTCAATATAATTACAACTTGGAAATTATTTCCTTAAATCTGGTATATCAGATTGTTAGATTTTGTTTTTGTAAATCCATGTTTATAGGTAGAAATGATCATGTCTTTGTGTAATTTATAGAAAAAAGGTATTCTAGCAGAATAGCATTTTTAATGTACTGTGTATTAAATATTATCCATTAAATCCTTCAAAATGAAAATTTTGACAAATGATAGTGAGTGAAAGAAGTAAACAACACACCCTGAAAAGGCACAGTAATATGTAAATAATTTTTATCTTATAACATCCATTCCATAAGAGAGCATAATTGATTTTATTGATTTACAGTGCAGTCAACGTTCTTGTAATGTAAAATTTAGCAGGTAGCTTAGACATTAAATTTTAAACTCCGAATCATCATCAATCTTTTATTTAGATCTGATAAGCTTCTGGAGTTGCTCCAACAGTGGAATCTTAATATGGTTCTCCCACACAGAATAATTCACCTTCGGAATATTATGTCCTCTTTTCCAAATATGTAAACAAATGTATTACTTATTGTGATGGAAATAACACACAACTACATTTTTTTCCACTTTGCATTGCAGTAAGGATTACGTGGCTTTGACTAACAGCTTATACTTTTTTCTCGGCTTTATTAACTCCAGCCAAGTCCTTAATTTTCATGAATAGAACTGAAAATGCTGTTCTTTTAATCTTCTGAGTTGAATTCTGGGTCATGCAAAGATTAAGTGAAGTGACTCCAAACCTAAAATCCTATAATTACGGAATGTCTGTTTAGATTGGTGCTTGGTCTTCTTTTTCCCTCTTCTAGATTGGGAAGAGAGCTTTCTGAACTGCAAATTAGGAAGGCCTTGACTTGTTTGTCTGTGGTAGAGCAAACAGAGTTGAAGAGGCCATCTATTTAGCTACCATTTGTTTTGTTTAATCTGAGATTAGGCCTAGGTTTACAAAAGAAATGTACTAAATTTAGAGTAAACAGAATTCCTTAAGGTAGCATTGCTTGATGGTATTTTCTTCTTATAGCCTCTTCTGAGTGGTTTGTGATTAAGGGATAAAAAAGTGACTATTTTAAGCTCTGAAAACTGTGAGGACACAGTTTTGGAGGAAATAGAAGGTAAACTGATCAAATAATTTACCAGGGAACTTCAAAATGGTGGCATATGTTCTTTAAATGATTTTTTTTTAAAACTTGTAATAATTCCTCTGAAGATCTACTGGCTGTTTTTAACCACTGACCATCACCTAAGGGAAGACCATGTGACTCGTTACTATAACGGCCGGCATTAAAAAAAAAAAAAAAAACCTCAGGGAAGGAAGACTTACAACTATAACCTCATTTCTAATTGGACTGTGGTGAAAAGAAACTAGTCATCGCTGAAACTAGGGGCCAGGAGAGCTGCTTGCCTGTCCTGAGCAACCTGTAGTTGGCAAAACTTGAACTTTACATATAAAGAGACCATTTTTTTACAGTGAGTTTGGGGTAAATTGTGTAAAGTCTCAAAGGGACCTAATACAGGACATTTACTAGATTCCAAATTTGACACTTTAAGGAAGACTGCGATAGGTAATGTGACCGTCCACCTTAGAGATAGTATTATTCATTAATGAAGGGTATTCATTTAGTTTTGTTTTTATAACTCCAATAAATTTAAGAAATGTCTTTGTGGTCCTTAAAAGTAGCAAACATATTTATGATGCCATGTTTTTCTACTTGCTGCTTTATCTGCTTGGAGAGCCTACCTGGAGCAGCCAGGTAAATTGAAAGGAGTAAGAACTTGGGGCCAGGCAGCCAGACAGACGTGCATTCACATTTCAGCATTCACGTTTATGAATTCAGTAGTTCAGTAGTTCAGTCAGAGGCTGGATGAGTGTGAGCGTGAAGCTTATGCTCCCTGCTTCCCCAGATGTTAAGTGGAATCAATAATAATTACATTGAGGAGATGTGAAATAATGACGTAACATATGCAGAGTGCCTAGTTCATAGTAGATGCTTCAAAATGATGCTTTCCTTCCTCTTTCCCTTACGTTTGCCTGGTAAATCACCCATCCTTCAGATGGACTCAACGACTCTCTATTACCGTCCAGCTCTCAAGTCCCTTCTCTTGTGAAAATGGAAAAGTTGAACTACAGTTGAGATATTATTCCCAGATGTTCTTTGGAACACAGGGGATTTCTCCAAAAGACACAGAACAAATTGCCTCCAAACAGTCAAGATTCCAGCAGAAGCCGGAGTAGCAGACTACTTGGATCTTCGAAGTACCTGGCCCTGAGTCAGTTAAGGAAGACCGTTTCTTCTCTTTTGTACAATCCTATCATGAGAGCTGCGAAGTGAACTAAGAGCTTCTGCTTTCATCATTGACCTCCCAATCCTAATAATATGTTCACTGGCCAACTTCCTAGTCAATTTGTCTTTTGGATATAATGTTCCTCTACTATTTGCCTGATTGAGAAATCTGCTACAGAACATGACCAGTTAGCGTTCCCACCAACCCCAGTGCTACACTGACTGTCTTTCGATGGACTTTCCTCCTTGCTGCCTCTCTGAGGTCCCAGACCTTCAGAGTGACCCTCACGGCTCTGTCTAAGTTTCTGTCATACTTCTGCCAAGAGAGACAACTAAATCAATATTTTTAATGTGCTTTGCTGCCAGAATTCGATGATCTGTCACAGTTCTTGCCTAATACACCCAATCATTATTGTTAAAATGTTTTTTAGCTTTGTTTGTAGAATTGCTTTAACTGGTTCCATCTCTGGGAGCTACACTTTGAAATATAACTTTAGCAACATTTTACTATACTTTTTCACAACCCAGAGCAGTAATATTTTATGCTAAGTGGTTAATCTAATTCCATAAATCTTTTGCAACTATCCTCTATTCTTTTCCTTGTAATTTCCACCTGGGAAGGTTTTTACTGATTATCATCCTATCCTGAGTCATCCCACAAACCAATCTGTCTCACTTCATTGCTTCTAACCTACAGACTAAGCATAACTTCGGCTAAATGATCTTTGATAAGATGCTATGACTCTATAAAGCCTTTGATATTCATGTCTAAATTTAATCAATCACTTGTAGATTTTCATAGAATCAATCTTTCACTTCTACAACTGGGAGTATTTGTAAGTTGTTTATCTTAAACAGTTCCTCTATTATGCTTTTCACATTAAATAAATCAACCCCTTCAAATCAATTTTCTGTCATGTCTATGATGTTATTATTTCATGGCATGGGTCAAGGGTCTACAAACTTTTTCTGTTAAGACCTAGAGAGTAAATATTTTAAGCTTTTCAGGCCATCCAGTCTCTGTTGCAACTACTCAGTTCCGCCATTGTAGCACTAAAGCAACTATAGACAATACATAAATGAGTGAGCATGGCTGTGAGCCAATATAACTTTATTTACGAATGCTGAAATTTGAATGTCAAGTAATTTTCATGTGTCATAAAGTATTACTCTTTTTTTTTTAACATTTAAAAATGTAAAAATTATTCTTAGCGTGTGGGCTGTACAAAAGCCGGCAGAGGGCCAGATTTGCCTGTGAGTTATAGTTTTCTGACTACAGTATAGTTTATGGCCAGGAGCAGATTCAGGTTTTGTGGGGACTGAGCTCTTTACAATTAGGGGGCCCTCTTTAAGAAAAGGAATACAAGGAGGGGCGCGGTGGCTCGAGCCTGTAATCCTAGCACTTTGGGAGGCTGAGGCAGGCAGATCACGAGGTCAGGAGATCGAGACCATCCTGGCTAACAAGGCGAAATCCCGTCTCTACTACGGGCGTGTTGACGGGCGCCTGTAGTCCCAGCTCCTGGGGAGGCTGAGCCAGGAGAATGGCTTGAACCCGGGAGGCAGAGCTTGCAATTAGTGGAGATGGCGCCACGGCACTCCAGCCTGGGTGATAGAGCAAGACTCCGTCTCATTTAAAAAAAAAAAAAAAAGAATACAAAATTACAAATACAAAATTAGATACGGTGCTTTAGAAAAGACCCATGCAAATGAGAGGCCCTGAAAATTGAGCCTCTTTGGCATCCTGGTGAATCTACTTCTAGTAACACTTGGACAATTCTGCTGCAAGGGTTCCCTAAACTGGCTGATCATTGGAGTCACCAAGAGAGCTTTTCTTACTACAGGTTCCAAAGCCCCAACAGGCTGCCTGAATTAGAATCTCTGAGGATAACTGGCAATCAGCTGTCTTGTAAAGCTCCCTAGGTAATTGTACTGCGAACCCAGGCTTGGCAACCAGTATTTTAGTAACCATTTTATAACATCAAACAAATTCATTTGAACTGGTATCCCAAACACACTTATTGCCTTAATTGTGTTGCTTACCCAGAAACAGGTTTTAACTGTTGTTATTGACCCATAGCCCAAATGTTTACTTATCAAGAATACCCTATTGTTCAATGACCTCAACACAGAATATATAGATACCTTACGCTAGGCCATCTATCCCCTTTCTTTTTAGTAAGAGTCAACACATATATAAGCTGGCTCTTCACCATTTGGGCTCAGTTTAATATTTTTATGTATTAAATTTTATTTTAAAAACTATTGGTAATTTTTTAAAATCTTAAATTTTTGAGTTGGCATATAATTCAGACAATCTATAAAGTAAATAAATGACTGTTGAAGAACATCTGACACTTATGTTACCACAGCTGGGAGAGTCAAGCTTATAAACCTAGACATAAAGGTAGCAGTTGAGTCATTTGTTATTGCCTGATTAATCATCAAATGTATAGAAGACTCTTTTCATATCCCCGTGAGTATTCTGCAACCTTTGTATTGTTCAAATTTAATATTATTCCCATGATACTGAGATATCTTCTTGGTCAAAATTGAGTAGTTCTGTCTATAGAGTAGGTAGCATCTATTTTTGGCAAGATAAATATGAAACAGTGTTACTTTTAGTAAGCAAATGCCTTATCATTGCCAGCAATAAAGCTCTAGTGTCAACCGAAAGTTTCATTTTAAGGGTTGAGAAAAACCTGTCCCAGCTTTTTCAAATTACCTTTTTTAAACAAGGACTTGAGAATTTCATATCCCAGAAAACATGCAAACATCAATTCTTCTAATTTTGTTCACCTATCGGAAGGCAAAACTACTTATTTTCCTGACTCAGAAGCACAAACAGAAAGTAAAGCATACTTCCTGACGCATTGATTTTAACTGTTACGGGGGCAGTATTGACATAAATAGAAAATGAAGCTGCTTTTTCCATTGTTTGGAGGTTTCATTTTTAGAAACTAGGACAATATTATATCAAACTTGTTTCCTCCAACAAGGACTCCCACATCTAATAATTTATTCATTTGCTCATTCATTAATTCATGCAAATATTAAGTAAGTGCCTATAATGTGCCACATTCTGTGCTGGGTGCTGAGGATCTAACTCTGCAGGCTCAGAACGTAGGTTCTAATGAGGAGAGGGAAACAATAAACAAGGGAATTTCACATGGTGATATATGGTGTGTTGAAAGTAAAACATGGTGAAGCTAGGTGAATGCATGTGTACGTGGGCATGAAGGGGGCAGGGGCAACTGTAGCTACTTTTTTTCTTCTTTCTGTTTTAGAGATAGGGGTCTCACTATATCCCCAGACTGGTCTCAAAGCCTCTAGTAGCTGGGACTACAGGCAGGAGCCACAGCTCCTGGAGAAGAGGAACCTACTTTAGATAAATGGTCAAAGGTGGTGGTGACATTTTGAGTTGAGATCCAAATGGTGGAAAGGAGCTGGGCATTCATATGAAATGGGAGAGTTCTCTGATCCCCCTGCAGGATGTGCAGCAAGGTTGTGGCTCACCTATTTGGTCACTGCCACTGCGCAAACCCCTGACAGGAGTGGGAGCATGCAGATGGGCAAGTGCAGGAGCCAGGGGACGTGCTTTGGGCTCTGGCCCTGTGGTAGTGTCTAGGGGTGGGTGCCTGTGCTCCCATTGTTACGATGCTCTTTCAGCCTTGCTGTCCATGAACAGCTTAAGTGTTAACCAGCTCAATGGACCCTCTGCCTTTTTGCAAGGGCAAAGGGCCAGGGTGACAGCTTTCTAAATCCCGAGCATTCCGAAAGAATCCAGTAACACACGGGCTTGAAGGATGAATGTAGGGTGTTGTTGAGTGGTGGAGTTGGCTCTCAGTAGGATCGATGGGGAAGTGGAAGGGGGATGGAGTGGGAGGATGATTGTCCCCTGGAGTTTGGCCCTTCAGCAGCCGAACTCCTCTCTGACCACTCCCAGCTGAACTCTTGGCATTCAGATGTCCCTCCTCGTCTTTTTGTCTGCCACGCCATTTGTCTGCACGTCTCCCCATCTCCTTGTTGGCTGGTCTGCTTTTAGAGCCTGGGGTTTGGGGTTTCTGTGGGTACAGGCCTGGGGAGCATGGTAGGCCAAAAGGTAACTTTTGGGGCACGAAAACAAATGCCTGTTCCTACTTAGGGCTGAGAGTCTCCAGGCTTAAGGGTGGGGCCTTTGCTGGGGAACCATTCTCTTCTACCCAGTATTTTCCTGTCTCTTGGCCGTGTCACAGAGATCTTAGGGAAGAAGTATCTAGAGCTATGCTGTCTAGCACAGGGGAAATCGAAGCTCTTTAAATGTGGCTAGTGTCACATGTTGAAGTGATATTTTGGATATAGTTGTTTAAAGAAAACATATTACTAAAATCAATTAAATGCCTAACAATCGGCAGTATCTTTGCTGGATTCCTCATTACCAACATTTTTAGCACTCAATCTAAGTATAAGCACCACAACCCTGTCACTGTCTCATGCTTGCAACAAATCAACACGGTTAACACCTATAATTCCACTAATTCAATTCATCCCATTATTTTTACACTTTTAATGTGGCTTTAGAAAATTAAAGAAATACATATATGGTTTACACTATATTTCTATTGGACATCACTGGTCTAGAGAGAAAATCTTTATCTAGTTCTTGCACACAGATCCCTCGGATCCTCATGGATTGGGTGTGTTATCAGTTTGACCAGTAGTTCGAGACCAGCCTGGGTAACAAAGTGAGATCCCCGTTTCTACAAAAATTAAAGAGTTTGAGCTAATAAAAACACGAGCTACAATGTACTAAACAGTTATGGTGTGCCGGGTGCGGGGTAAAATTGCTTTACATCAATTCATTGTATCCTCATACTGTTACCGGAAAGGGGTCCCTATCCAGACCCCAAGAGAGGGTTCTTGAATCTCATACAAAAAAGAATTCAGGCCAAGTCCATACAATAAAGTGAAAGTAAGTTTATTAAGAAAGCAGAGGAATGAAAGAATGGCTACTCCATAGGCAGAGCAGCCCTAAGGGCTGGTGGTTGCCCATTTTTTATGGTTATTTATTGATTATATGCTAAACAAGGGGGGGAATATTCATGCCTCCCCTTTTTAGACCATATAGGGTAACTTCCTGACATTGCCATGGCATTTGTAAACTGTCATGGCAGTGGTGGGAGTGTAGCAGGGAGGATGACCGGAGGTCACTCCCATTGCCACCTTGTTTTTAGTGGGTTTTAGCTGGCTTCTTTACTGCAACCTGTTTTATCAGCAAGGTCTTTACGACCTGTATCCTGTGCTGACCTCCTGTTTCATCCTGTGACTTAGAATGGCTGACCTCCTGGGAATGCAGCCCGGTGGGTCTCAGCCTTATTTCACTCAGCCTCCTCTATTCAAGATGGAGTTGCTCTGGTTCAAACGCCTCTGACAATACCATTATGAAGTAAGAAATAATTCCCGCCCTATTTTACATATGAAGAAGTGGGAGGCTGAGGGGCAGAGTAGGTTGCCTGAGGTGATAGGAGGATGAAATAACAGCGCGAGAAGTCGAACCCAGTACACATCCGCCCATGCAAGACACCAGAAGCCACAGGAGGAAGAAGGGGCAGGCGGGAGTTTAGAGCACTTTGGCGTGCCCACCGGGGCGCCTACCCCACTCTCCTCTGTGCCGCTGGAGGCCTCGAGTTCGTGTCCTCTCAGCGCCTGCCAGGCTGCCCCTCCGAGGCCACAGCGCCCTGCCAGGCCGGCCTCCCCCCGCCCACCCCTCTCCCTGAGACCCAAGCCGACCGCAGGCTGACCGCGCCGTCTGTGCCCACCTGTGTGGGAATCTACCTGCCCGCGACCCAGGAGCTCAGGGACTGCCCCAGGAGATGCAGCCTCGCCCGCTCCTGCCACGCCTCCGGCGCCTGGAAAGCACCACATCCGGCA